ATAAATGTATATATAAAGACAAGGGTGCATAAAATGAACTCCAGTCAAAACAGAAAACCCTTATAGAAACACAGGAATCTGAAAAAATCCAAAATTTTTCTTCTGTACTTTTTGAATCTTTGTTTTATTAATCCGTAGAGTAAAAAATATTTCAATTATGGTTAAAAAAGTGAGTAGGAAAAGAAAATAATAGCCAATAACATAATAGAATAAAATATTTTCATTGTCATCTACTCACCAGTCATCATTGTTAAACACAATGAATGCTTTGTTTCCTCTTCCAAAAGCTACTTGGTTGGATCCATTATCCCACCAGTTGGTGAAAGGCTCGCCATCAGCTATGTTTCGGAAGGCAACCATGTTCCTAGAAGCACAAACTCATATAAGATTCTGATATCTTTCAACTTCAAGAAAATAAAATGTTAAGGAAAATGTCCTGTTAGCGGATATCACACAGTAAATATTCCCACCTTATTTGACGCCAACGATGTTCACAGACCCAGTCATTGCCACAGGTGGTGTCTGGGTTAATGGTTACTTCTTTAGTTGCTCCATTATTATTTGGTGGCCCAATCCAATCATTAACATCCTTAATTATGAAGAAAAACTCAGATTTTTAACGTGTACATGTATTTACAGCTTTTTTCTCCATTATACCAAATGTAGTCAGTCCTGTCACTTTGTTCCTGCAATGTCTTCACTTAGGGTCCCGCCCCCTCCACATTTTGATAGACCTTTGCTGATACTTAACCATCCTGCAGACGCTCACTGTCCTGTGCTGCATTTGAGCAGCAGTAACAAATCTTATCCTTTCGCTTTCTTTCCAAGCAATGGCTTCATATCACAGTTCAACGTCATTGGAAGGGCAAGCACAGTAGCATCAGGAACACTAGGATTAAAATATAGGTTCCAATAGTTTTAACTAAAAAAGTCAACACACATAATATCTTTATGCCTCAGTTTTCAGAAAAGTAGGGATATTGCTTGGTGTCTATAACAATAAAGTAACACATGTGAAGATTCCTGGCCTACAATAATTGCCAAATTAGTTGATTTCATACCATCTTTTGGATAAATGTACTAATCATATCCTAATAATCTTTTCTAAATTACAAAAATTTTTAATAGTATGTCTTTACATTCTGATTGCCAGCACTCTTAAGATCTTTCTTTTAAGAAAGCTAGAGTAATTGTTGAAAGAATATCAGTGTAAAATTATATCATATGATCAATGGTAGAAAAACCTAAGAGTTTATTTTAACATATAGAAATCCTAAAAAGGAACTGGAAATAATCTATGACTGCTGACATCAAAAGACCAATTAGAGAAAATATTAAAATTGCTTCAATATAAAAAGACATATTCTAAATGTCTAAACTCTCCAACAACAGTATGTGTTATTTTATAGAGTAGTGGGATTATTTCTTTTTCTCTTGCTCTCTATAACCTAGAATTTCATTTTCTTGACATAATACAGAACCATGTTGAGTGCTTAGTAACTATGGTAGGCATGTTGCAAATTTCTGGATTAAAATTACTCTAACATTTTAATCTCTTTAAAATTGTATAGTAGAGTTAACTCAAAATTATCTATAAATGAGCCAAGACTGGTGTTACACATCTGTAATCCCAGCACTTGGGAGGCTGAGGCAGAATGATCATTGCTAGTTTGAGACCAGCGTGGGCTACAAAGTGAGCTCAAGGCCAGCCTGAACTGCATAGTGAGACCCTATCTCAAAAAGAAGAAAAAATTATATATGGCTTGTCAAAATAGATTAGACAGAGTTTTAAATGTTGACTACATTGGAAGCGATAGCCTCATCTATGTTAATTTTATATATTTCTTGACTATTTCATATTTTCTTTAATTAACTTCATTGGTACATTTTACATATACATAAAATCGTATTCATCTTGGGAATTTGTACCCATACATGATATATTTTGATCCCTTTTTTCTTCCCAATCCCCTCCACTCCCTTCAGCTTCTTTCCCTCCTTATTTACAAAGCTTTGCTTCCATTTTTTTTTTCACAGATTGAAGGATTTAATGGAAAACATAAAGATTGATTTAATATCTTGTCTACAAACTTATATTTTTGCCTTACAAATGCATGAACCTACAGATACAGGAGAATTTATGTGTAGTATATGATATTAGCACTTGGATGACTAATAGCCCAATAATTCAAGAAGATGTTCTTTTACATCGATATCTGACAAGAAACACAAGTGGCACTGAAGTATTCAGAGTGTAGAACAACGTTTCCGATTGTTTATCCTGGGCCAATTTTATTGATATTTTCACAAATGGCACGAAAACAGTGTTAGGTCAAGCTGTTGGGCCTTAGCATAAATTAAAGCTGTGCATTGAACAGTATATGATATACATGCACTGCTAATGAAAAAAACAAAGTCCCTTTTGTAAAATCTTAATCATTTGTTTCTTTTTCCCTTCCTTCCTTTCCCCCTCCCACCTTCTTAGTTACTTTTTTCTTCTGAACAATTTCGTCCAATTTCACAATATCCATTGTACATTTTGGTAGTTATTTACTCTTTTAGTTTCCATACCAGGGAGACAATGCAATGATTACACATTGCATTACACATTGTCTGACTTACTTCACTTAAGATTATGGTCTCAAGGTGCATCCATTTACCTAAAAATGCCTCAAACTTATGCTTCTTTATGGCTGAGTAGTAGTACTCAGACATTAAGAAAAAGAACACATCTTTTTATCCATACCTCTGCTGGTGGGCATTTGGGTGGTTTCCAAAAATGGGTAGTTAGCTATTACAAACTGTGCTGGTACAAGCTTGGGTGTGGATATATCTCAGTGGTATGTTTTTAATTCTGGGAAAAGACCCAGAAGGGGAATAGCTGGTTGAAATGGGACTTTTAGTCCTAGTTCTTTTTAGGAATCTTAGGACTCTTCTCACTCATTTCCATCTTGATTGCACCAGTCTACACTCCCACCAAGAGTAGAGAAGGGTTCCTTTCCCCACAGCTCCTCCAGCATTTGTTATTTGCTGATTTCCTGATGATAGCCATCCTTTCTGGAGTGAGATGGAATCTCAGTGTTGTTTTAATTTGCATCTCTATAATAACCAGTGATGTTGAATATTTTTCATATATTTATTTGCCATTTGCATTTCTTCATATGAGAAATATGTATTCACCTCAGATACCCACTTTTGGATTGGGTCTTTAAACTTGGGGGGGTTGATTTTTTTAATTCTTTATATGTTCTAGATATAAGTCCTTTGTCTGAAGGACAGCTGGCTAACATTATTTTCCACTTTGTGGGCTGCCTTCTCACTCTGTTGGTATTTCTTTTTGCTGCGCAAAAGTGTTTCTTAAGGTGAATCTAGGAAAAACAAAACTAGATAGATATTTGTCTGACACGAAGGAAAAGAAATGTCTGCTTCATGTATAAAGTTTTATTTGATGGTACTTCTAAATTTTCAGTTCAAACTGAAATTCTTCAAGCTTCAGAAACAATCTTCATGACCCTGTTGTTTCTCAGTTCATTTTCAATTTGCTTTTCAGGTTGATATCTTTACTATAATTATTTTTTTAATTTTTCTTGTTCCTGGAATATTCTTAAAATTTCTATTTTTACTATGCGTAATTTCCGTCCTCATATTTTCCTAGTTAATCTCAGCTCAGTTGAATCATTCCTTTGCATTCCATATAACTTAAAAAAAAAATGAACAAACACCTTTTTTGCTCATATGATGGCAAGAAATATTTTAAATTCTTTATAAATGCCAGCATGTATAACCCTCAATTAACTACTGAGGTAATTGTGAAAGCACATATTTTAGTCTTTGTGTCTTGCTACTATTCTTAAGTGCTGCTTATTCTTTTTAGCTGAAGATGAATATTTGCTATATTTCTGAATGTTTTCATAATCTTTGCCACAGAGAACAAATTTTACTTTTTAATATTCTTTGCGTTACTTAAACCAGAGTCCGCATTTGGGTTTAGAATTAAATAAATGTTTAGTGAAGAAATATCAAGTGTAATAACATCATGTGACATTAAACAAACTGCCTGTTTGTCTTAAGATAAAGGATACTTTACCTCTAAAACTTACTTTTCCATTTTCAAAATGTCTTTCCCAGCGGTAGCTTGACATCACTCGTGCAATTCCGTAAGGATGAGCGAGCATAAATCCGACAGCCATTTTATACATTCTGAAAGTCATAAAATGGTATTGTAATAGGAGAATATTTTTCCTTTTCATTAAAAGATAGGTAAAGCCAAGGATATAACTCAGTGGCACAAGCACCTGCCTGGCAAGTGCAAGGTCCTGAGTTCAATTCTTGTTACAAAAAAAAAATAATATAAAAGAGGTAAAATATGTGGAAAACATTGTTTCCTACCTAGCATCCCAGAATGTAAGGATAGATGCTCCTCCAGCTCCGTGACCTCGCTGATTGTCGTGATTATCCACAAAGACAAGCGCTCTGTCAGAAGGCATGAATCCCCAACCTTCTCCCCAGTTCCTATTTTAAAAAAATATATAAATATATATGCATATACATATAATATGTATTCTTTTACAAGAGATTTAGACCTAACCTGTATTCCTTTCTATGTAACATTCTCAGATAAATCCTGCCAATTTTATTCATAGGATTTTGTAACATATAAAGTTCTATATAATATATGTATATGCATTGTTCTATCTGTGTATACATGTAATCTACAAGTAAATTACATGTTTGTAGATGTGTATGAATGATTATATTCTATTCGTGTTCTAGTTTAATATTATCCCCATTAAAAAAGTTTCTTTTAGAATTTATAGGTTTCAGTATATTGTAATTTATATGTACTTCAGAAGTAACCATTCATATCATGATATAAATGGTAAATTAGATTAACATAGCGCTTTAGTACTATACTTTTGTAACATAAATATTTTAATATTTCAAAGTAATTAATTGATAAATTACAGAAAAAACCACATTGTAGGCATTTCATCAATGTAGGTTATTTTTTAACAATAACAGATAATGGGGAAAAAATTATAATCAAATCTAGAAGGCTCATACCATACACAGGTTAAAGTTTATGTGTCAAGTTTTGGGTTTCTATAATATTTCCTTATGACTGGAAAATCTACATAAAACATGTGGTTAATTGAGGTTTGGTGAAATAGCAGCAATAATTTAATTATTGATAGTTTTTTTAAAAAGGATATAAGAAGATTAATCATATTGGGTTACATGATTAATAGAGCTGTAGAAAAATTCAGACAATAAATTATATTTGCCTACTTTAAGTAAGCCATCTTTTCTCCATTCCACTTGCGAATAACTGTGCCTAGTTTAGCACCATACTTGAACTCTGTCACACGGCCATTTCCAAAGTATTCACTACTTTTAATCGCCTCACCACCCAGATCGATTACCTGGTAGAAATACAGGGGAAAAAATCCTTTTAAATAAGAACATTTTAATGTATGAATTAGTATCTTAGTAAAAATAGCTCTAAAGGAGTTATGCTATTTGAAGTGCTCCATTTTTCTCATATCAAAATTCGTTATTATTTTTAATAAAGTATATGCTTCAGTACTGAAATAAAATTAATGAGATACTGTTTTATCTTGTAAGAAGGTTGACCTTATATATCCTTCCATATATATGATAACAGCAATAATTTCTGCTAACATATCATTCACTATCTGACTGACATTTCCAGTGCTTGATAATTATCAAGATATTCACCCATGAAAAAAATGTATAAACATTGTTACTGGCTCATTTCTTTACATGAAGAAACTGTTAAACAGCAAGGTTAATCAATTTCCCTAGAAACTTAGACAAGTAACAGTGATAGACCCAAACGGCCAATAATGGTACAGCCAAGATCCAATCTCAGATAGATGGGTTTAGACAGCAAAACTGTACAGCTTTCAGTCCCCCGTATAGTCTCTGGAGAGGAACTAACAGACACGGCAAAGTCTTCAGTCTAAATAAACCCTCCCAGCGTCCATAGAACCTGCTGTGATAAGTAATTAACGTGCTACCATTGCTATCTTTGAATAGAGGAATGTTAAAAACGCTGCTTGATCTACATCACTCATCCACCAAATTACAAAAATGGCATATTTCAATAAATTTGAATAAACGTGCTGTTTATTTTCTGATGAACAAAATGCTCATTTATTGTATGCATATAGGTGTATTGACGTACCTCCTGGAAAATGAAAGGTCGACTTCCTTCAGGGAACCAGTTTGTGTTCAGATTATTCAGTTTGTCCAAAATTGCCTTGATGTCTCCGGGCCACATGTGTTTAGAAGCGTCCAGTCTGAACCCTGCTACCCCAATGTCAATGAGATAGTTCATGTACTCAGCAATCTTGGTACGCACGTAATCCTTCTCAAGGGCGAGATCAAGAAGACCAGTTAGACGACAGTCCCTGACCTGTTGAGGTAAAAATTTGGTGATTGATTCATCACTTCTCCTCTGAAAGTCCATTTAATTATCTATTCATTTACTGAGGCCTCAATAGACATTTACATTTCTATGGGGCACTAGGGACATCAAAATATTAACATTTTAGGGCATGGGGATATAGCTCAGTAGCATAAAAGCCTGCCTGGCAAGTGCAAGGTTGTGAGTTCCATGCCGGTACCGCAAAAGAAAAAAAAATTAATATTTTATAGTGGACATAGTTTTAAAATATTTTTAGTGTAAAAATAATGATAGTTATGTAGGAAATAAAGGACATGAGCTTTTTAACTAATTAGAAGAAATTTTTCTTATTTTCTTTCACTTTTCTTTTTTTCTTTGTTTCTTTCTTTTGTTTTTTTGTTTGTTTTCTTGTTTCTTTTTTTTTTTTTTTTTTTTTTTTTTTTTTTTGAGTTCTAGGAAGCTAGGAATAAAAACCACCGACTTCTACATGTGATTTAGTGCTCTACCGCTTAAATATATCTCCACCACAAGGATTAGGAGAGAGCTTTTGAATGTTTATTTTTCATGTTTTTAAGCAGTTAACGCTGCTGAAATGCTTTCCTGAGGAATGCAAACTAATATCTAACATACCATTTAATAATGTGCACATAATAATTAAAAGCATGGGGAGGTTTTGGTTTAGACTTTTATTCTTTAAAAAAATTACCTGCGCAGCATCATTATAGTTCTCAATGCCTCCACTTCCGGTTTTACACTTAGCATCATTAAAATCCCAACCAGAGTACGGGACTGCTGGAAACTCCCTATTTTGAGGATTGTAGTAATTTCCACAAGTGCTGCTCGTTCCTGGGGCATTGCTTTCAGCACACATGTGATTAATTACAGCGTCCACATAAATTCGCACCTAAAAATCAAAGTGTCTACTTTAGTTTAACTTCAGATAGAAATCTAAAGCATTATTGCATATTAATGAAACCCCAAAATATTTATTTGTGATATAACTTTATTTTTCTGCAAAATCAAAAGCCAATTGTGAAAGAAAACATGTGAAATAAATACCTACATATTTCTAGTTACTTGCTCAAATGTTTCTGTAAATGCTAAGTTGAGAGAATCAGAAACTAACATAACAGAATGGAAATAAAAAAGACTATTCTTAAGAATCAGTTAAAACAGATCAAATTTATTGAAATTTCAATGAGTCACCAGAAAAAAACAAGCAGTTTCTACACTCTATTCAGAAAGAGTAAAATTTATTTATTAGCAGAACCAATGGAAAAATAAAATAAGAAATTATATGTGGATACATGTCACATAAAAATGCCAGTAACTATTGTCACTGAAATTACCAATTCCTAATCACAAAGTGTTGATAAGAGATTTGTATACTAGTTCTTTTTTTCCCTGAATACTAAAGTTTTAGTTTATTTATTTATTTATTTAGATAGACAGATATAGATAGGTAGATACATAGGTAGCTGTCATAACTGTACTGTTGATGTCTGGTGGTTTATTGAGGGGAACAGTCAATGATTAAAAATTTTTTTTTTTGACCAATTTTGCATGCTTATATCTGGTAATCTGAGCAACTTATGTGAAGACAACAATTTGTAGTATAACAACCACTGGTGAATTCCTACAATCCTGTCTAGTGACACTATGTATTTTCTCTAATGTCTTTTTAAATTATTATTTTTTATTCCCTTTAATGGTTGATCAGTCTTCCATTCTTACATCTGGTAATCTGAGCAACTTCGTTGAAGATAACAATATGTAATATAACAATATGTAATATAACAACCGCTGTTAATCCCTATCATTTGGTTTGAAACCCCGTATCATTTTTAATGTCCTTGCTTTGTTTCATTTGTACAGTAGTTCTAACCATCAAAAACTCATGTTTTATAAATAAACTCTTCTTAAACATTAAGTTGTCTTGTCTTTAGTAGATAAATGATGTATGTACAGGGATTTACAGCTGTGGAAGAGAAGATAATCATTGGTTTTCAGCTAAGCTAAAGTATGAAATAAAGTTTAAAAAAATTAAAATACGAACAATTTTCCCTTCAAAAAAGTACAAGGGACAGAAGACATTATCCTCCTATATAAATTTTGTAAAGAAAATTTGAATTCACTTACACCAACATTATTACACCTAGTCACCATGTTTCTGAATTCATCTTCATTTCCAGATCTGGTGCATAACTTATAGCTCACTGGCTGGTATCTTTCCCACCAGGGTCTATAAGGGTTGGTAATTACAGCATTTTCATTGGGTGGAGAGACCTGCAAATAAAACAGTGTTAACAAGTTTCCAGTTATGTCTTACTTTATGTCGTTCGATTCTCTAGAAAACTGATCAACTTTCTAAATTATTTCTGATTCTTTGTATATACAACTACATTGTTTTATAACCCCTTGAAAATAGTAACAGCACATTGGAGATTTCCTGCTCGGATCCTGAGACGAACTGAAAAGTTGTCAACAATTCTCAATGTTTTTCTTCCTCAGAAAATTGTTTTTAGAAAATTTTATGTGAATCAAATGTTGCTCTACATCACTGAACCTAGTTAAAATGCCGTTTTTTATAAACACAATAAATGATGAAATTTATGCTGCAATTGATAGTTACCTGAACGCCTCCAAATCCCTTCCGAGCTAAGTAGCGTTCACATTCCACAGCAATATCGGCCCAGCGCCACTCAAACAGATGGAGGATAGCTGTGCGTCCCTGCCGTGTATGAGGGTTGTACTGAGCCCAGCAGACCCCAACGGCCGAAAGCAACAGGAAGAACTTCATCTTGCGGTGGAGTTGTCAGGGTTCTTTCTAGCAACTGTCTTATATTCCTGTAAAAGAGCACATTTTACAAAGTAAAATTTAATGTCAGTATAAATTTAGAATACCAAGTGTTTCTCATCTGGAAATGATCATGGATCATAACACTCAGTTGGAGGTAAATACAATTCACCCAGAAAAAGAATTTAAATGGTCTTTTAGAACTTAGTGATTCTTCTTCTTGAAAAAATACTAATCTTTCCAAACGTGTGACCTTAGTTATATATTAAAACTCTATATAAATGAATTGTTTAATTTGTATTAGATCTTATTTCTGAGTCCTTCAGTAGTACAAGGGAATTTACAATCAGTGCCAACTGAATACATACTCAAAATATTGCTTCAACTATCTATCTGCAAATATCTCGATAGTTCCATTTAGGAAAGTGGACAGAATGTTCAATTCAGTTATTTTTTCCTCCCCTAATACAAAGTTTTATTTCTATTTATGCATTAAAATTTAAGGAGTCACTTGAAACTTAAATGCCCAGGAATTGTAGAGATGAGCTCCTCCCACCCATTAAATCATGTGTTTATTACATGACCAGAGCAGTAGGATTTGTGTGGGTGGTGATATTTTTCTCCCATACAGTAACTATCTTTACATCTAATATAACACTAAATAGAATAATTCACATCCCCTTTTATCCTTTATTCAGTACAATTCTATTAGTATAGGTGGGAAAAAATATTTATCCATACATTCAATAAGTATTGAGTGAAGAATTTTCTTTTCGGTAAGCCCTGAGGATGATGTTCAGGGTATAGTGATGATAACAGTTTCCTGTTCCAAAAGAACTTACATTGCATTAGTAGAAAAAAAGAAAGGATGCAAGTAAATATAATAATAGTGACAGTAGTGATGCAGGACACAGAATCTTCTGACCTGATGATAACAGAAATGAAAATGTGCCCAGGAGTATTAGCATGCAGGCAAAGCTTTATTGAGTTTCTAGGCTTGGATAAAGTCTGGTAATTTGCCACCGGTTATGAGTGTGATATTTTCACAAGAATTACTTCCTTGTGGGGCTGGGGATTTAGCTCAGCGGCAAAGTGCCTGCCTGGCAAGCGCAAGGTCGTGAGTTCGGTTCCCGGTACCGGAGAAAAACCAAAAAAAAA